ACACTCAGTCCCAACAACACAGCCTTCTTACATCCTCCAGAAGAAATCAGGTTTAGCTTGGTTTTTTTAGTGTTTGTTTTTGTACCATAATAAAAAATAGCAGTCGCTAGCCCTCCGTCACACCACACTAAAGGAAAGAAATCAATTAAAACTTCCCAAAGGGCAGCAAATTAAAGACAAAAGGGAGCTAAACTCTCATGAGAGATTAAAGGGAAAAAAAACAACCAAAAGTCCCAAGATGTATGGGCTTAGGAGGAAAGCCAGCTAGATATTAATAAGGCTGTTCAAATACTGTAAAAAAATATTTAGGGTACATTAGCTGAATAACTAGCTGATCTGGAGAACACCATCTAGATCCAACGTTTTTAAGAGACTGCAGACACTAATTACTTTGATCATGCTAGAACCTCCCTAAAAATGCAGAGCCTACTTAGATGCTTTTTGTGATATTCAGAAATGTTTTTAAAATGTGTTAAAAATAGGGATGCACCGATATGAATATTTTGGGCCGATACAGATATCCGATATTAATGTCACCGTTATGGCCGATAACCGATATTTGCCAATACTGATTTATGCTTCTGAAATCAGCAAATTTTGCATACACTGAAATTATGCAAGCTGAATTTTTGAATGTTTTGCTTTACTTCTATAAAGTGGAATTTGCAAAATATTATATACACACACACCACACACATGTATGCTTCTGAGATGATTACCATCACTGTCACAGGACTAAACAAATACACATCATCACCACCCTTACCCTCTGAAGCATTTACACAAACAGAAACAAGATGGAAAAAATATTGGCTGTTAATATCGACCCAGTTTTACTTATCGGACCGATACCGATATGTTCAAAAATGACTAACATTGGCCGATACCGATATTGATGCTGATATATTGTGCATTCCTAGTAAAAAATAAAGTAAATGTGTGTTTTGTACTTGACTGGTCACAAGATGAGAACAAGAGCCAACAGTGCTGCTATAAAAGCAGAGAATTGCTGCTACGGAAGCCTGGATGTCCAAACAGAGCCAAGCATTGGGACTGCAGCGATCAACGGAGAGCGATGGAAATCTTGTGGATGCCGGAAGTTTTAAGACTGCTTTGGGCAGTCAAATAAAGAAAAGGGCAAATAATTTGAGACAAGGACATGAAAAGTTCTATTTTTCTGAAATAAATTACTGCCTATTTGATTGTAAAGAAGTTTTTAAAAAATTAAATAATGACTCTGTGAATGGAGGCAGAGTTTGACACCAATACCAAATGAGTGCGACAGAAAGCGACTTCGGTAGCAGGCGGTAACGTTCAGAAAATCAGCGAGAGCGGACATTGGAGCTCTAATATCCAAGTATGCAGTCAATGAGCAAATAAAAAAGTGTTTTTCCACTTATTAAAATAATCCAATACAGAAAAATTTCACTGGAAGCCATGACACATGTCGATTATATGTCACCATAACTGAAAATAACGGAGGCATGTTTTGTGAGGCATTTCATATGCTACCAGTGTGTTTTGCCCTCATTCTGCCAGCTTCACCTAATATCACAGATTTTTGAAATATAAACTATAAACTAGTATCATTTGCAAAAGCCAACTTATCAGGATAAATATTAATGCAGTTCTAGGTGAATATATGTTTTCTGTCTGTATCAAGAAGAAATCTGTTTCATTCACTGAGAGCCAGAACAATTCCCGACCACGCTGCTGTCAAAAATAATCAGCTGAAAGGATGTTTGAGCTATTTATGAGGTGACTGCTGAGGCTAAAAACATTACATCATTCAGAATCTCTGCTGATCCAAAATAACATGAACGTTATGGCTGCTAGATACTAGAAAAACATACAGCATCACAGTTAAAGGCTGAAATATTACAATAATAATAATAATAATAATAATAATAATAATAATAATAATAATAATAATGCATTGAACTTATATAGCGCTTTTCTAGACACCCAAAGACGCTTTCACACACTCTCACATTCAGACACTGCTAGTGATGGTAAGCTACTTGTAGCCACAGCCGCCCTGGGGAGGTCTGACAGAGGCGAGGCTGCCATTTGGCGCCGTCGGCCCCTCTGACCACCACTAACACAGGCAAGTTGGGTGAAGTGTCTTGCCCAAGGACACAACAGCAAGATACCCCTGGCGGGAGCTGGAATCGAACCCATGACCCTCCGATCATGAGGCAACCCGCTCTACCACCTGAGCTACTGCTGCCCCGAATTATGTTTTACTTGCCCCTTTTTGCTTAGGTCATCATCTGATTGGTCAAATATACATATTAATGTGGCATGAAGACAGAAACACAAACCTGCAGCTGATTGCACTTGTTGATATTGGAGCAATGACAAAGTATTTTGACACCACGATTATGACCGACGAATAAACAAAAAACAAACCTGGCTTTAATGTTTAAACAATTTTTTTAACCCTCCCACAGTTTTTATGGGTGACCCCGCAAGAAAGTTGACCATTGAGCAGGATTGATGGTTTATCCCTTGAGGTCCACGTGGCAGGGGTGAGGTGGTGCTCACTCCTCACCCCTGCCACATGGACCCAAGGGATTAACCATCAACTCTGCTCAATGGACAACTTTTCTCATGGGGTCACACCCATTAGGACAGTGGGAGGGTTAATTTTTTGTGTAGAAGTCAATCTCATGGAAATGTCCACAGTAAGCAGCTCCTCTGAGACATTCTATAGAAAATGAGCGCCGTCAATCGTCTGTGAGCAGCCATGAGTCAACTTGCATCACCTGGAGGATAATTCTTTTTTTATTTTTATTTTTTTGTTAGAACCAATGAATAGATTAGTCAGGATGCAAGTTTTAAAGAGACACTACGCAACTTATGAGCTCTTGAGCCAGTATGTGCTAAAATAACCTTTTACATGGTTTATAAAAGAGTTGCCGGTCCGGTCTGTTGGACTTTGAAAAACATGGAGCTGACGTACCTGGCGCTGCATTCTCCTTCCAGCACATTTCCTGTATGCTTTAGGTCATGAACACAGCTGATTTGTTTTGTTTAGTGATGAATCACTCCTGTAGACACTAATGAAGGCTGGGGAGACATTTCCGCTGTTAAATTAAGGTGTTAAAAAGACGAACACGCAGCAAGGAGACAGGTTTTACGTTCTGTTCTACAAACGGACACAAAGGGGTGCTAAAAGCAAGCCAAAACTGTCTCCCTAAAGCAGGGGTGGGGAACCCTGGTCCATCGAGAGCCGCTACCTGATTTCAATCAGCAGGTGATTAATAGGCTTCTGCAGAGCTTGATGAGCTGCTGAACAGGTGAATCAGGGCACCGTCCCTCGAGGACCAGGGTTCCCCACGCCTGCCCTAAAGCTTAGCTTGAGCAGAGAAGCATCTAAATGCATTTTACTGATAAGAATCTAATAAAATGTTCTGTTCTGATGCTACTATAGTTGTTTGTGACAGATTTATTCAGATCTGCAGCATCAATTCAATGATAGATTCTCAAACACCATTAACAGGGCACTCAACAAAAAGGCTCCATCAAAAAGTATACATGTAACCTTCGACAAGAGCTATTTTTAACTGTTTAACTTTTAAAGCAAAAAAAATTAAAAAACAGGAACATTTGATCTATTTCTGAATCCGGATGTGGGGTTTGGGTTGTATGCAAAATCCTTCATCTAGTTTTATTTTGAAAATCATACACCTTTAGTTGGTTTGTAGTGCTTTTTTAAGGAAACCAAAAGGACCATATAATAAATGGCCTGTATTTGATATAGCGCCTTCTAGAGTCCTGGAACCCCCCAAGGTGCTTTACAACACAATCAGTCATTCACCCTTTCACACACACATTCACACACTGGTGGGGATGAGCTACGATGTAGCCACAGCTGCCATGGGGCGCACTGACAAGAGGCGAGGCTGCCGAGCACTGGCGCCACCGGTCCCTCCGACCACCACCAGCAGGCAAGGTGGGTTAAGTGTCTTGCCCAAGGACACAACGACAGCGACAGACTGAGCATATAGTAATGAAAGGGGTTTGAATCTCTAACGGGTTGTATTAGACACGCCCATCAGGTGTGTGCCATAAAAATGTTTGGCATCCGGAGATTCAGGCTTATCATCGGCAGCTTAAACCACTGATAAAGGTCAAACAAAAGGCGTCAGTTAAAAACAAACATAAATCAAACAAATTTCCCTCACTGAGTTGCTTTTTCATGTTGTTTATGACCAAACAAACACACTTCCACATGTGCAGACAATCTGAGCCAGTAGAAACCAGACCTGACAAGCCTGTCACACGTTTGCTCATACACACCCTGCACACTCACACTTACATGCTGTTTTAGTTTTTATTTAATGTCTCAGCACTGATGCATGAAAGCTGATAAGAGTGGTGCTTATTTACGAACATTTCAGAGCTGAATTGCAGAAAACTATCACTGATTATCGTAATGTCATGATATCAGGCATGCCACACCTACGCCAGTTGCTCAACTCAGACTCACAAAAACAAAATGTGTAAGAAGGTCTTGAAAATGTTAAAACAACAAGACAGAAACATTCAATTAGCATGTCAGAAGGAACCCATATTCAAAGAGTTAATAACAAACAGATCAAGATAGTTAACTGTTTGCAGCCCTAGCTTGTTTCTTGGAACTGGGGTGACTAATCGTGACTATTTAAAACAAACATAAAAAACAAAGACTGGTTAAACTAGCTGCTTGGTGGAATTAAACCGGAACATCTCCGAACCCGGTCAGAGACCCTCTGGCTCGGGCTCTGGATGCCCAAAAGAGGAGACAAAGGGCATTAGCTTGACAAGCGACTCGCTCGTAATGACAGTGAATCATCATCGGGAATAATGAGTTAAACCATGATTTATACAAGCTAGACACATACACCGGGGGGAGAACGGAACGTGGCACGGTGCTGCTTGTTTACATGTATAAACACGTCGTTTGAATCACACAACAGCTCCAACACTTTTCTAAAATATGTAAAGACACGTACCTGGTCGACGGGGAGGTTTATTATGTCGCTGATAGGCTGCAACAGAGTGGACCCAGTGCATGATGCTGTCGTTTGAGGAGCCATGCTTGGATGGTAACCGTAAATACTTCCCCTCTCCTTCCTCCTGCTCGCTTCTCTCTCCCCTCTGCTGCGACGATAGACACTCCAACAACACCTCCGCTGCTTCCGTCGCTGCTGCTGTTCTTGCGACGAGCTGGACGGTTGTCATCCACAGCACGCATCCAACAAAGAGTACAACCGCGAAGCGAGAGCAACACCCTCCTAAAAATCCCACTTTCGCTTTTGTGTGATTTCGTAGAGTTGTCAAACATGACTGGGTCGAGTTTTACTGGTTAGTTATTGTTACAGTGGTAAGGTTTTAGGCATTCATTTACAAAGAGAAATGTCTTGTTGCTAAAATAGTGTTTTTATTTTTTATGGAAGCCCATTCCCACCACTCAGATTTTCAAATTAATTATCTAATTATGACTTAGCTATCTCATAGGGAGACACTTCCAGACCATGGGTCCCCAGAAGAACAAAAAAAAAATGCAAGTCAAAGGGGCTAAAAACACTATTTTCTAATTCTGCTTGTTTTGTGCCATGGATTTCACAAATAATGTCTGTGAATTTTCAAGATACATTTTGATACTAAGAAAGCGCTTATTTTCAAACAGGGGAAAACGCTGTTTTAGTTTTTGTGTGAAAATAAGTCCAGGACTACAAATGCGCTTCACAAAAGTGACGTCATCAAACCGGACACGGAGAAAACTGAGGGAAAAAGGCTGTAAGTTCAACGAACTTCCCACAGGAGGAAAGAACCACCATAAATCTGGTTATTTGGCAAGTATCAGCTACGTTAGGGGAGAGGAGATTATATGGTGAGGTCACATATGTGACGTGCCGATTTCTGGTGTGTAGTCATGCTAATTGTGAACTTTTACATGCTGATAAAGTATGTGACTGGCGTGGTCGAAACACCCATCATTAGTTTTTAAATTGCAGTACAACATGTGTGATCCAGTGCGTAAGGCAACGCTGGTTAGAAAATAGCGTTTTTAGCCCCACTGACTTGCTTTCATTTTTCATTATTTGGGGAACCCATGAGCCAACCGGAAAGGGAGGAGACTTAGGCTCCCTATTATGATGAGATACTATATCATAATTATAAGATAATTAGCTGTCTCATAATTGTGATATAGTATCTCATTATAACGAGATAGCTAAGTCATTATAATGAGATAGCTGGTCATAATTATGTGATAATTATTTTATTTTTTATCTGAGTGGCTGGAATGGGCTTCCATACTTCTCATGCTAACATGCTATGTGAAATGAAAATTGAGCGCTTTGTTACATTTCCTTAACAAATTTTACTTTCATACAATATTTGTATGCAATCTCTTTTGTGCCTCTTGACCCTGCTAACTGGTTCACCGACAAACACAAACAAGGCAATGTTTGCCACTTTACTTATGTCAGGCGTGAACTATCTCGATCATAAAGACTCTCTGTCGGAGGAGAAAGATGGCGGCCCACCCCTCTGTCATAACAATCTAATTTGCTGAGAAAAGAACCTCCCTAGTGAAGTCACACATGGTTTCAGTGTCTCCACAGTCACCTGACTCCCCTCACCTCTCAATTACGGCTTTCTACAAGTAAAAGGAAGATGCGTGACGTAAGAGCGTATAGGATCATTAAAAAGGAATACGTCACTTTATTAACTTTTTTAAAAGTTTCTATCATATGTTTTGTACTGAATTTTAGCTCAGATTGCACTTTTTTGTTCTCATGAAACCAAGTTTTAATAATATTTGTTATTGTTGCAGCTTCAGCTCGTGAGGTCAAGAAGCAAAACTACCATGTCCTGCAAGAACACATTCTAATAATATTTAAAAGCAATAATAATAACACATCATAGAAGTTTAAGGAGCAAAATTTTGCCTAAAATATAATGTTTTAATTAATCAGTCATAGTTATGTAATGAGCGCTTAGCTTCTGCCAGCAGCCTGTTTGTTGTCATTGTCAATTAGTGCCATCTAGCGGCTTGGAGAGTGATGTCATAAAATAAAGATATAATTTCAAAACAAACGTGTTTTAGTTCATTTGTAAAGCGAAACATTTTACATGGATTAAACAATTTAATCCACGCGTTATTTGTTAGTGAGATACGTCATTTATGTTGTGTTTGAAGCTGTTTGAATTACTTGCATCTGCAGTAGCGGCCAGTAGAGGGCAGTACGTACCTGTAGTTTGGCCTTAAAAGGTTTGAAAAATTGAAATTTCAGTTCTTCTGAATGCTAAAATAAAACACGTTTCTCTCACTTGCTTATTTGAAATTTCAGGTACATTTGCACTGATCAAATCTTTGCTTTTTATAAATTAATTCATGCCTAAAACCGTCACATTTCACACAGATTCAGCACAGAGGAGATGAAATGTAAGTTTTTATTTATTTATGCACCAATAGTTTCAGTGTTGATGGTCAAAGTAAACTTTCAGACATTAGTGTGGCAGCACTCTGCACAAATTCTGAGGCCATGCATCACTCTGAATGTACAATAATTATAAATCATGTAACAAAGCTAAAAGTCAAATGACACAGTAGGTTTTATTCTGAATGTCAACAAAAATCTTGTTACTTTATAACTGGCGTATCTATGCATCTCGTCATACTTGTAAATGTAAATAATTCATGACTTTCAAACTGCTCTTCCCATAATGCAATTCATGCTCTACACCATTAATCATTTATTACTTAATAAAAATGACATTTACGTCACTCTGTTTAATTTGATAGCTCCCCTTCAGCAATGTCCAATTAAACCCATCATCAAAAAGATAGACAGTTTAAGTTGGCATCGCCATGGCAACCCCGTCTCCTTTCTCTCAGAATGATGGCCCAGTTAAAGAGAATGTTGATAAAGAGCAGAGAGGGTGGAGTCTTTACAAATCTAGTTAAAAGAAATCAACATGGTGACTTTGTTCATGTTCCCTCTCATCATGAAGGCCAGACCTCCTTTGTTCCTCCCCTCATTCCCTCCTGCTCCTCCTTATTTCCTCTCCATCTCAGAGTGAGAAGCAGTTATTTAAAAGCTGGAGCTGATGGCGGCGCTGTAAGCTCCTTATCTAGTCAGTAGTTTTTGTTTGTCTCTCGGTTTTCCTCCCCCGAGGACAAACTTCCCTTCTGTTTACAGAAAATAAAAGGCAAGCATCTTTGTGTTTTGGGGTCAGACTGAATGGATCTGTTTGAAATAGAACAAGTCCTCAGAGATGGACAAGTCCTGTTTATTTACCACCACAGCAGCCCTCCTGGAGATCACATTCTCTCTCTCTCCCCTCCTCTGTGTTCTTTTTGAGTTAGCAGCGCCGGCAGATACAGATGCTTATGCTCTTCGGTGGGACAGGAGAGTGTTTTGATCACGGCTGGAACATGGAGCTGTGCTGAGATGTTGCTCAGAACACAATCAATAACCAGGGTTTGTGAATCTGCAGGTGTTTGCTGCAGAAGAGAGCTCGGTTGGGTCTGATTCTCCATCTGCAGAAACACATCCATCATTTACTCATAAAGTCATATTTATAAACACAACATTGTTTTCCACACAGGGTGCAGGGTGCCCCCCCCCCCCCCCCCCCCCAGGATCTTGTTCAGTCACAATCTTCATAATCATGGATATTTAAATATTAATCCAACACACTCACATTTTACACTTTTCTTATTTTCACCTGCTCTCACTTTCTAGGTTTCCTTCAGCTGTTTTTATGAGGAAAAATCCTTTTAGGTAGAAAGATGAAAAAAGATGCAGTCACTGGGTTTCACTCCTCCTCCATTAGTATTCCCAGGGGGATGCTGACAGATTCAGTTCTCCCACTTTCTCCTCTATTCTTGTGTGAATCTGACAGACATTCTCTTCTGGCTCAAGCGATCTTTAAATCAGGATCCAAGTTTGTGAATTTGATCACATAACATCAGCAGAACACAAACACTCTCGTCTGTCTCCTGACGCTATTTCGTTACTCCTCAGCTTCTTGAAATGCTTGAAAAGGCATCGGCTCATTTGCTAAAGCATCAGAACAAATGCAGCAGCCTGGGGATTTGCAGCGGTTGCTTGGTGAACCCTGGCTGGTTTACATTCATGGAGCTGCTGATTCAGTCTTCATGAAAGAAACGGCTCAGTGGAGCTAATGAGCGCAGGGTTCACGGACCCAATTTGTCAGGGGGTGTCACAAAAAATTTCTCTGAACACAGAAAACAAGCCAGACTTAATCAACCAACGTGAAAAAAATCATTAAGCTGAGAGCAGACAAGTGCAGCAAAAGTGAATGAACCTCATTTAGATGCAAAAATGATTAAATTCACTTAACAAGAAACAAATTCAGAAGAACAAAGAAAAACTAAAAACATTTGCAAAATGAGTGGAAATAGCTTGAGAATGAAAACATAAACACAAAGAAAAACTACATTTATGAAGTTTTATGATTAATAACAAGATGTTTTGTGTGAATTATATCGATTAAAAAAACATCCAAGTCAAGCTTTTGAATGCCCCCTAGTGAGACAGGGGTGATCGTCATCAGTTGTGTGTGTTTTTGTTCATATGTGATTTAGCATCTAATATCCTGCAGTTTTCATTCAACACTCAATAAAAAATGCAATGTGTACAATCTTTGGGTCGTTCCGGAACCTTGTGCTGTTTTCTTTGTGGCAGAGATAGAATAAAATGCTATTTTTTTAGATTTTTATTTTTATTTATTTATTTTTGCAGTATGGTAAAACGTATGTGCATTCCCTCACAAAAGTTTAAAATATGAGAAATGTGAGATCAAAAATGGTCAGGCTGGATCATGAGGGCATCATGTTGTTTGGCCCGAAAAGATTGATTTTCCTCCTGGATGACAAGGTTAAATAAAAATCTAAGCTCAGGCCTTTCTCTCCTTGGGAAAATGAATGGTCAGATATGAAGAATAGCAGCAAATATAACAAAAACTTCAAGCTGGACTGCAGATTAATCAGCTCAGGTTAAAAAAAACACTGTAATCCAAGTGCAGTTTCCCCTTGAGCCATCTCAAATATTAGGTTTTAAATTTTGCTGATGACACATTGTGCTTTCCTTGTGCAGGAACACTACGTCTTTCCTATTTTTTTGTCTTTGCATCATAGAAATTTAAAGGGGACATATTATGACTTCATTTCTTGAGTATTAACAGTTTATGGCAACACAAAACGTTGTTATTAATTTCTTTACATAAAATTAATTTCCCTTACAAATTATTCTGCTGTTTTATTCTTGACGTCTTCAGCACCTTCCACAATGAGCCAATTCAGGGTTCTGTCACTTTAAGAAAACAAGCTGGAGCTAGCCACGACCACTCATCCCTCTCCTAGACTGCTATAAACTGAGAACCTTTGGAATTTGTGAGCTGCTCCTCCTCCGTCAGCTTCTCTTTTGTATGTAAGAGGTAGTTTCTTTCTAATTTCCCCGTTTGTGACATCACAAATGGAGACCTTTTGAAACGGCTCATTTAGGCACATAAATCCTAAAACCAAATACCGACTGAAAACAAATGGTGTGTTTTTTGTGTTTTGAGTGGTAATAGAGACAGTAGAGACCCATATGGCAGCACAAAAGGATAAAAAAAAGAGTTTTGCATAATATGCCTCCTTTTAATCACAATTGGGGGTAAACATTGTTAACCATTTTCTGCTGTGTTCTTAAGTTTTTGTTTATAGAATAATGGTTTTTTTTGTACTTTTTCTGTCTGAAGGCTCTGCTAATCTGGGAGTAATATGTTAGCTTTAGCTTAGCATAAACAAAGTAAGTGAATGGTGACAGTTTGCCATTAGGGTGGAATGTTGTAAATATTGTACAATAAACGAGGTAAACATGCCTGCCAGACTTCATGCCGCTGTGTCATGTCCTTGCGCCTTGCAGCAGCGTCTTACAGCGATGCTTTGTCGTAATGTCCCAAGATCCAAACGTGGTTTTTCCTTCATGTCATTTAATATTCTAATTTGTAGTTGATACACTGTAAAATATTCCAAGTTGACCCAACTTAAAATAATTTGTAACCTTGCTGCCTTAAAATTTTGATCAATGCTAGCAAATTATTTTGAGTAATGTCAACAAACTAGTAAGTTTATTCAACTTATGGGATAAAGTTCACATAGCTTATTTTCTTTAGTTCGATTAATTTTCTTTTTTCAGTCAGATCAACTAATATTTTAGTTCTATCAACCACAGAATCCAAGTAACTTCCACAAACCTTTGATTCAGGCTAACAAATTATGAATATTGAGGAAACCAGTAAACATTTGCGTCATTATTGAATCATTTTCATGAATTTTCACGTGAAATGCAAGCTGTAGTCATTCACTTATATTGTTAATGCTAAGCTAAAGCTAAAAAGTGCTGTCAGATCAGGAGAATGACTGGGTCGATGATAAAATGCCTTTATCCGCTGATCTAATGCTGGTGAATATGGCAAGAAACTATATTTCACTTAGGTGTGGAATATCCCTTTAACTTTCTAACTGAGAGTTTCTGAGAAAAGTCTATTTATTCACAAACGACATGTCCCTTGCTTCATCCCTTTCCCATTAGGAGGCCAAGTTTGTGCGGCTACAGCTCAGATTCATCAGGAAGAGTTTGCAAAGCATGCAAAAAGTTTCCTTCATTAAACATTCATCACTGCACACAAACTTGGCTTAAAATAGGTTGTTTGAGTTTGCTGCAATTTATTTAAAACAATAAAGCCATTCATTCCACTCAGGGAGCCCACCTGTTGCACAATCATGATGTCATGGCGTTGCATTTTGGAAAAAGTGACCCCTGCTCACACAATCACCCTTGTTTATTGCACCAACATGTTCCTGCAGACTCTAAAATGCTAAACCAGTGGAAGTATATTGGATGTTTGAGGCTTATTTTGGCCAGAGAAGGGATGTAGGGACACGCCCTGAGTTCCCGGCTCACAATACAAATTACAAACATCTTTTCCACGCAGTTTAGCATCTGCTTTAGTTATTGTTCTGTCTGCAGCTGGGCAGTTGCATTTCCAGCTTTTACAAGGAATGAACAAATTTCCAAAGACAACAGCGACTAATATGAATGTTTTCTGCTTTGATAAAAGCGTTTGAAGATGTTAAAACACAGCAGCCGTGACCGAAGCGAACTGCGCCTCTCGTTTTGTTGCACGAGGCCACTTGAGCCTGCATGCAGACAAAGTCTTGATTGAAGATGGGTGAATGAGGCTTCTGTTCTGCTCAATGGAGCAGCTGACAGCTTCAGCGTTGCTGCATATTTTAAGTGACCTGCAACCAATTTGGCTTAGTTGCAATGTGCAGTGATGGATGATTAACTAATTTCTCACAGCGTTTGCTCCAGATGTGTATTAGTAATCCTCAGTGGTGAATTTTGTTGTGCTTTTGTGATTCTTTTTAAATATCTACCTGCTCCTGATGCCCACAGGAGGTCTAAGAACTTGATTTAGTTTGACTTTTTGAGATGACGTGGAGGTTTTGCTGACCTCACCGCTGGAGCTTCTCCGCCTCTGGATGGCAGATGTTCTATGAAAACGTGTTTGTTCATTTTCATTAGTTAGAGGATGCCTGTGAGTCGGCCGAGGTCAGCGTGGGCGCTTCATTTAGCAGCTTGCCAGGAGACGCTGTGGAGCTGAAAGAATGTGTGAACGCTGCCCAGTTTGTGATTTAAAGGCTGCCCATGGTTTAGCCCCGACTGCCGCCACACTATTTATACCAGCTGCTGTTCGGAACGGACTCAATGAGCTGATCTGATTTTTAAATCCACTAAAAGCACAAAATCCTCAAAGTTTCCCCAATTTTAGCATCTTTTTTTTTTTTTGCCTTTGTGGCTTGAAGAAATGTCATGTGCGACATGTCAAAGCAGACATTGAAAACGGAGAAATTTCTGCAACTGACCTTTTGGCCTACTTTATTTTGAAAGAATAAAAACAACAACAGTACAACTTTATCTCACAAAGCAGAAAGTAAGATTCTATAAAACGTTGTGCAATGGCTTCAAAAGGTACAAAATGTTTTCTGGCTACAAGTGCAGGACAAATAATTGCTTTGATGTTGATAATGAAAATTCTTGGATAAGCTGCATTGAAAACACTTGTAGCAACATACTGGTAAATAAAACTAATCAGTGAAATTGCCTTGACATTGCGTTTGCTTTGGGATACGAATTGTAAACCTCGGTTCGTGTTTTTACAGACTTAAATCAGTCGGTAATACCTGAGCATTATGGATAAAAATAGTCAAACTTTTACACAACAAATAAATGAACAAAAATATGATAGTGAGATTTTTCCAAATAAATCAGGCTGCTTGCTTGACTTCCACCTTAAATATAAAGCAAGTGACTCTGAAGTCAAAATGTTGCATTCAAGTGCTTTTGGGAAATATCAAACCAGTTACTGTTTTAGCATAATTGAGGAGATTTGTGTGTGTGCATGCATTTTTGTGCATATGCATCTGCATGTGTGTGCACTCATACTCTCAAACTCCCGGTGAGTGGCAGCAGATGCTGCTAATACTGAGCCATGTTGTGTCGGAGGGTTCTTCCTGTTAAAAGGGAGTTTTTCTTCTCCACTGTCGCTAATGCTTGCTTATATGAGGACTGCTGTAAACTCTCTGACACAAGTCAGTGACTCGATACAAGCTGCTGTGTATCCTTATATAGGACACTTTTAACTGATTGGGTAAATTAATTGAGCTGGAATGTTTTACTTTGTGAAGTGCCTTGAGACAACTCTTGATTTGTCCCTATAGAAATAAACTGAAATTAATTGAATAGAATCTATCTATCTATCTATCTATCTATCTATCTATCTATCTATCTATCTATCTATCTATCTATCTATCTATCTATCTATCTATCTATCTATCTATCTATCTATCTATCTATCTATCTATGATTTTTTGTTACATGAGAAAAACAAAGACGGCTGTATATATCAACTGAATTTAATTTAAAAGATAAATGAGTGAATAAACATATATTTTTTAGTTTAATTGAATAGATAAAAGAGTGCAAAATATTTAGATATTTTTTTCACTCATTTATCTTTTCAATTGGATTCATTTCATTTATACAGCCGTCTTTGTTTTTCCATTTAACAAAAAAAATTGTTTTTTTATTTTTCAAATATGTAAATATTACTTAGTAATAAACTTTGGTTTCTGCGTTTCAGTGATTTTGTGCACTAACAAAATCATATCTTCTCACATTTTCACAAAATAACGAGTTCAAATCAAATAACTAGGAGTACTTTAGTCAATGTAATGTGGATTCAAACTTTAGAAAATGTTTAATTTTGTTTTTTAATGACAACGCAGTTTTTTTTTTTTTTTTTTTTTTTTTGTGAAGTGGTAGTTTCCGAAGAGCAATTGAAAGCGGCACAATTCCATGATTTATGATTGGCTCCCCGTTTTCACCCGCTGCCTCTGATTGGTTGCTGTGGCCTCATTGAGTCCCCTCCTCTACCTTTGTCAATTTCTTGCGCTCCAGTTGAATGCTTGTTGTTCAGCGGAGCTCTATGGAGGTGGAAGTTACCTCCGGTCGGTCATAGCTTTAGCACTCCGCCACAGCATCTTGGATATCGTTTGTGAAGCTTCACGTCCCGCTGCGCGTTAGGGATGAGCTGTTAAACTCGCTGCAGGAAAAGACTGGAACACGGGACCGATTTCACCTTGTTTTTAATCACCTTGAAGCGGTGAACACTGCAGCGTGCCACACCGCTGCGCTGGTGTTGGGAACAAACAAGGGAATGACATAAACACACCCAGAGATGGTTGACTGTCCTCTGGGACCTTTAATAACACTACTTTGAGGTTTTTCTCTGCTAAAACGGAACGGAACGTGCTTCTTGTATTTGTCCCCGGTGGAAGGATTAACCATGCCGGACCTGATCACAATCTCGGAGTTTGTGGCAGAGACGAATGAAGATTATAAATCACCGACTGCTTCTAATTTCACCACCAGGATGTCCCACTGTAGGAACACCGTTTCAGCTCTGGAGGAGGTCAGTTGTACTCCTTTCCTCAAAGATGAGTTGTTGACATAATCTTATCAGCTGAGGATGATTCTTCATCTTTTTTATTTAAAAAAAATTATCTGGACTTGTTTGAGAACTTTGGACTATGATGTGAAGAAGTTGTGGCATTGAGCACGTAGTTTTAATCCGTTTGTTTTTCCAAGGACTTGCCACCAACATCATGAGTATTATATATGGGGTGCTTGTAAAGTTAACTTATTGAACATGTTTGCATAATTTTTACAGAAACATTTCCTCACAAATTAGAGCCTCGTGAAAATGAAATGGGGTGTGGAGTATTTCTATACACCATTTCCCACCAGAAATAAAACACTTCCAAACATTTAGATTTAAAATTAAAATGATTAAATATGAATATTTAGAACAAATATGAACAAAGTTAAAGCTAATTAGGATAAAATCTAAATGCAATGAGTTCATTTTAAATATTTAGAATAAAATCAATATAGAAAATTAGGACTCACTTCCAAAGGGACTCTAGCTAGGGGGATCTTTTTACCCAGCTTTTACTTTGGTAGGCTATTTCCTGTCTATGGTAGCTTGACTTGAATGTTAGCTTAAGGCATTTCAACGTTTCTGGCTTGTTTCTGTCAAACATTTCTCTCGTACCCTTCTGTTTGTTATCAAAACACATAGACTTAAAAGAGCTCAAAAACATTGAGGTCAAGAGTTTATTTAGATTAAAAACACCACCTCTATATTTAGATTTTGTTTAGATTATAAAAATTTAGACTTGAATAAAAAAATGTCGATTCATGATGATATGAAGGTTAAATACAGTGGAAGTCTGCAGATATTTTTTTGAGTGCATTACTTTACAATCAGCACCCCATAGAATATTATCCTTCCACCTGATTTAGGTGTGGACAGAATTCCAGATGGATCTGGAAGAGAGGAGGGATGTTGTTCTCAGGATGGACAGAGGACTAGCTTGTGTTATCAGTGCAGACAAAAATGAGCTTGTTTTAGCCCAGTTGTAATTCCTGTAGTGATAAGAGGGGAATCATATGCCCTTGCTCCAGTGTGTGCAGCAGTGGAGGTGCACTTTCTCAGCACACAGAAACCACTTTGTGTTGCTCCTTTAATTCACAGGTCATCAGGAAGAAGGACACTTCCGCTTTGTTCCCTTACTGCCCTCCCACCCTCCCTCTGTTGTTTTAGTTTCCCTACGTTGTGTACTGTAAGGCAGAGCCTCGCCCCGTCTGCCTGTAAAATAGAATTTCCCACATGAGTAACTCGGAGTGTGTGTGTTAGTGTGTCCTCGCTTTGGAAAGGAGGGCTGCAACCGAGGGTGTTGCAGGAAAACAGGAACTCTTAACCCTCTCAGGCTTAAAAAAAGTTTTGATAAAAGGACGAACAACTGAGTCCATCAGGGGTACTCCTGTGTTAAAAAAATGCTCACAAAGTGCGTATGTCGAGTAACCAGATAGGTAGGTTTTAACGTTGAAAATCTGCAACGCCTGCCTGCAGAGGGTTAACCTGCCGAAGGGTAAATGGCCAAATCTACATTGTTAGCTCCACCTTAAGATGCCTTATCACACCTGTGACGGTTGTGGCGTCACGTTTAACCCATGTGTGCACCCGGCAGACACACTCGCACCTGCTCACAATGACAGGTGCGTCACTATTGTGGAAAATCTCAGGGATTCCCTTCAATTCTGGACCGAGCCAGCTTCGGATGGGATGGAACGTGCTTTTCACTTTACCACAGACACAAATGTGGAGTTTACTGTTAAACACCAGGTCAGCAGTGATCGCTGGCTGGTGTGGTTGAGCTGTTGGTTTGGAATCTAATCTGCAGCTTTTGTTTTGGAGTTCTTGCCTCCGCCGCAATGTTTGACCTCCCTACGCTCGGGGCTGCCGAGGGAGCACAAGGGCTTATTGTTGGGACAACTAGACCCATGCAAACTTTTAATCTGTCCCACTAATTACACGCCACGGTGGATGGGTAACACTTCCGCTTATTGTCTGCAGGAATTTACAACACATTCAAACAGATCCTGGCTGATTTATTCAGAAACACGAGTACTTGGTCTCATGCAGACATGTTTTGTGTCCATTTGCCTGAAAAAAAGATGCGTTTCAAATTTCTTTAAGGGGTGTGTTGCAGAAGATGGCACTTCCTGTCACCTGTGTTGAAACTTGCTCCCGGTCTGTTTGTGAGCTGGAACTTGTGGCTTAATCATTACTGTCGAGGGAGTGCGATTATTGGTGTATAAACCTGCTGATCCAGACAGTTTGTTTGGGACAAATCCGCTCTTTAATCCCGTTACCAACAAGGACCCGATAATGTCTTTTGGGTTTTAAACCATTTACTCACACGTGCATTGGATGTTTGTTACATTGCATCTTTTAGTTGGGTGCATACAAATAGTCACTAATCTTTGGATTTATTTGAACCAGATTAATATCTGTTGGTTTTTGGGATGCTTTTAAACTCTAAAGAAGTGGATCTGTCTGGGTTTGCCGTTATTGAGTCCACGATGTTGCTCGGTTATTTTCCTCTAAATCTAATTGTATCTGACATGAGCTTAATTAGACTAGTTGCTTTTAAACTGCCTGCTGCTATCAGCAGGTTCATTCAGACAGTTTGTGGGCATGTGTGTGCGCGTTGGTTTTATTTGCTAAAACGAGGCCATAAAAACCTGTTTATCCAGTAAGAGGATATTGAGTTTTGTGGCATGACGCCCCCACCCCTTTGTACTCCAGTTAAACACTTGAGCTGACTTTACTCTGAGCAAACTTCTCATTAAAAAGGAGCTTTTAGACTTCAATGCAAAATGTGCTTAAATGTGCTGCAGCTGACTTTTTAAATTATCATGGAAAAGCAAAACTTTTCTACTTGGTCTTGCTGACGATTCCCCTGTGCAAGGGTTATGTTGCGCCTAAGAAAAAAAGTCATAGGGTTTTCTGCTCTGACCCGCTGACAGACGTATGTTGTGGGGGTATATTTTTGCATCAGTGACCGGATTCTGTTTTGGTATTTTAACCCAGTTACTAAACCCTGATAATTGCACTTCAATATGCTCCAAAGTGCTGTCTGCATCACTGATGTGGTCCTCACCTGAGAATGTTGTTTATAAGTAAATCTTAAGAATTTTGCTGAAATCTTTTCAGAAAAAACTTCCAAAAACTCTATGTATACCCATCTGTTTAAGCTTTTTGATCAATGCAAACACACTTAGTACAATATTTTCCAAACCTCTGAGTTTCCTTGCAATATGCTCACCTAACTTTCTGTTTAATGTTGCTTATTTTCAGCATCTGAAGTGAACTGGTTGTTATGCATCATTAATAACATTCGTTGCTTTCTCCGAACTTTGACTTTGTCGGTTTTCCGACGATGCCTTTTGCCACTTCTGAAATTCTTGCTTTGATCTTTGGTTGCCTGTTTGCAAAGCTTTTATATTTGAACTCCATCCAAGACCTAAGCGTTTGTTGATATCCTCACCTGCCATGCAGTCCTTACCTAGCCTGGAAAACCATATATGTAAAAATATATTCTGACCAGGGATGTAAAAAACATATCTATATGGAAATATAACGTGATTTATTTCCTGCGATATTATATAGATATTCAGAAGCCATGCATCAAATTTTTGGAAGGATTTACATGCAATCTTTTCATTTGGTGCAATTCAAAGGCTAACTGCTAGTTGGAAAAAGTATGCAATGGGTTTTGTTTCTACCATTGAAATGTAAATCCCTCTGTTATAGTTCAGATACCTCATGTTAAACATGTAACATATCTGTTAGGACTGTTTATTGAATTTTCCTACAATATAGTGATGTGTCGGTCCAGAATGAACCGGCTCTAAGAGCCGGCTCTTTGAAGTGAACGACGGGAGCCGGCTCGTCATTGGGAGTCATCCCCTCCCCTCCCCCCCTCCCCTCTTGCTTTGGTGAAAGCTACAGGCGATTGGTCAACATGTGTAACTGCGTGTCCAGACTGTCTACACACATAGCAGTAGGAGTGGGGAAGAGGGAGGATCAGACTCAGACACACAGCACATGCAGGTGGAGGGAGACTAGAGGGAATGAGGAGGAGGTAAAAGGCGAGCGAGAGAGAGAGAGAGAGAGGAGAATGCGACGAAGACGGTGAGAAAATGAGCGCCAGCAGTCGGAAAGTGGAGATCTCTTAAAGTGTTCAGTTATTAAATCCATAGAAATGATAAATATTTGATATATTGCAGTTTTTTACATTAGTAAATCATTTTTCATATAGTTTAGCATTAATTTGGTTATAAATGAACTCTACACAACAGAAAATCTGAGGAGCCACTTGGGAGCCGAAAGAGCCGGCTCTTTTTGGTGAGCTGAGCAAGAACCGGCTCTCTAAAAAGAGCCGGAATTCCCATCACTACTACAATACACTCAGTCCAAAAAAAAAACATTAATAACGTCTGAATATATCACAATACATTGTATCGTCTCCCCTGTATCGTGATGCGTATCGTATCGTCAGAATTTCACCAACACACATCCCTAATACTGGGCATAGACGGAGCTCAGTGGGGCCTAATCTACTGTTGTCTTTCAAATGATTTAAGCTAACGGACAATAAACATAGTGACGCACTCACAGCTACAGATGTCAGTCAACAGGGCAGTCCACCATACACCCTCGAAGAAGACACAAATACATCCTTTATCAAAATCAAGCACCTCTATCTGCTCTTGAATCAAAGAAGATACGTCTAAATAATCTAAAATAGATGCCAAAACCGTTTCAAATGAGCTGTGGCCATCTTAGTTCCGCTCCGTCGCATGATTCCGCTCACCAAACCGATAGAGTGCTGTGATCAGGGGTCTCATTTATCAAACATTGCGTAGAGTCCTTACTAAAACCGTACTTAAGCTCAGCAAAAAAAAAAGTACTTACGCCAAGTAGGCTTGTGATCTATCAAACTTGGAGTACGCACAGCTGCACGCGATCTCCGCTTCATAAATCAGAAACTATCTAGAAAG